CAGATAGTCCACTTGAAAGCACAGGCAAATACAGGTGGGGGCGGTGGCAGCCGTAACAGTGATTGATACAAAGGACTAGGGTTCACATTTTGTATATTTTTGTGTTTTTGTTTGCCAGAGGAAATAATCCTGAGCCTGACTGATGCGTTACTAGAAGCACTGAGTCCTGCCTCATTACAAGGCCACAGCAGCTCTGCTCTGCAACAGGTCTGCACTGCATTGACATTTTATATTACTGGAAGTTCTTGTCATGTTACAAGTCTTTGCTAAATTTTCCCAGTGATTCAACTTTGTATATTCTTCCAGAGGGCAAACATTTTCTGCTGGAGTGAAGGGATCCGAGCAGTTTGATGCAGTTGTTTGGTCAGCCATGTTTACAGAGAATTCATGGCAAAATAGTGTGGAACTTTTGTTGATGTGCTTATGACGTATAGGCTCTGCCATGCTAAGTTGCTGCTGTCACTAGAGGTGCTCCCCCTTTAGTTTTGACAAACCAATCATTGCTGGTTGGCATTAAACACATCACTACGGGTTTGCAAGCGCAGGAATGTCGCCACAGACACCAGCTTTTAAAACTCTGTATACTGGGAATACAAAGAGATTTATCTGGTAGTGAAAGGCTTAATCAGCATTGTGTGAACTTGTTTGGCAAGGACTTGAATGTAACAGACATTCCTTTATATGTAAAAGTCCCGCACTGTAGCTTTAAGACTTTATTAATCCCTTATCTATATTCAATTCATGTACATAGCCCTTTTCTTTTAAAAAGCAAAGATTTTTCTGCTGTATCAGATGTATCTGCTGTAATAAGATTTCCTGCATCAATTCCAGGATAACCTGTATTAAAGCTTTATCAGATTTCACACACTTTATCCTTTGATTTCCACAGCATCATTTCCTTCTGTCTTGCTTTCTATTCTTTTCAGCTACTATCAGGTCACTGTGGCCTGTGTGTTTTACTGAAATATAAAATCAAAACCTAAAATGAAAAGAAAGTAAAAATCAGATAACACATCTTGTTGGCTCTGCTTTGTCCTCGAGTTTGGATAGTGTGGATGCAAATATTTTTTCAGCCCCAATAGTTGTGTGTCACTACAGCCAATCAGAAACAGTGTAACATTTGAACACATTGAACACATTTTTTCGGCAGCTTATCTATTCAGAATCAGTGTAATAGCACAAAGTTTAAGTTGTCTCTGAAAACTGAACTGCAATTGAAGATGTTGAATATTTTTCTGCAAAACATTAATGCTGGTTAAAACTGTAGTTGTGTAAACTTTAACCTAATCCTAACTTAATTTTATACCTGAACCAAAGTGCTTTTGTTTGATTTCATTGCAGAATGTCTGCCCCAAGTTGAACAGCCAAAACATATTTACGTCCAAAGATAAAATGATATTCTATGAAATCAAAGTGGTCCACAGTGTGGGAATGAATTAATAGTAATAATAGCTTTATTTGTATAGTCCTTTTCTTTGCAGGAAGAAAGTACGGGTTAATTGGTGAAACTTGTGACATCCGGTGTTTTATTTCAGTAAGGCACTTGTGAAGGGTTGATTTGAATATAGAGCTGTGTGTCATTACATTTGCAGATGATGGCACCAAGAGACAAAATAAAATGGACCACAGAATTGAACTCTGGAGGGCACCATAGAGCATGTCACCATATAGCACAGTGGTTCTCAACCTTTTTTGGGCCAGCAACCCCCTATCCATTATCCAGGTCCCTTACCGTCCCCCATCAAAAAAGATGTTTGCTATTTTCCCTGAATATTGTTGATTTTTTTATTGTTACTATTTAAATACATGGAAAAGGTAACAAAAAAGCCATGTGAAAAGTTATGATATTTAACTAATAAGTGAATATTCCTCCCAGAAACTGTGTGTGAAGCCAGATACTGTTTTCTTGGATGGGGCACTTAATAAGTGGGTGGTATGGGGGTCCTCCCCCAGAAGATTTTGAGCATTAATTACTTAATTTCCTGCATTCTGGTGAAAATTTCTCTTCCAATTTCTGCCTTTTCTGCACCAATGTATGGTGGAAATGTCTAAAAATTCAGGTGGCAGGTGACAATTCAAAATATATAATTAGAATAGAATATAATCTAGTGAGGCTCTCAGGCATTCTCATTGCTTTTAAATATTTTTCTCCTGTAGATCAACTTATTTAATATCATCCCTGCCTTTTTAACCTTAACCTTTTTAAATGTGTTTGTGGCCCCTTTTCATCTCAGTAATAAATTAATCCGTTTTAATTCAGTTATTGACTGGACTTTATTAGCTCATCTGTTAATAACTTATCATAAGTCAGTGTTTCCCACAGAATGAAAGTGTAACTGTGGCTCAGCTGTACAGCATGCTAGCCTCGAAAACCCAGCTGTATTCTAACATTAACATTAGTTCTCCTTATTAGCTAGGCTCCTTATATGCTTGCAAATAACTTTGATTTGTGCAGCTGTGTTAACGAGGGAGAGAGAGCAAGAGATCGAGCGAGAGGCTGTGCTGACCCTGACCCCTATGCTGCATTATGTTACTGATTCGCTAAACTGAATGACAAGAGGAGGTGCTCATGCCGGGGGAAAACGAAACTAACCGACAACACCTGTAATCAGACAGAAAGCTCACGAATAATTCCACACACGTTAACTTAAGCACCTCTGATAAAGTGCCGCTTACAATCCCCAACGGAGCAAGACAGGGCTTCAGTTTTTAACGTTACATTTTTATAGCCTACTGAAACTACTGTATATGTGCGCTTTGGCACAAACTGTCTGCGACTCACAGCGCAAGGTGGGTCCACGTCACTCGCTGGTGTCGCAGCGAAGTGCTGCCTTCCCGTTAGCAAGTAGTTTAATGTTTAAACTCGTATTGTTGTGAATCTTAAGTATAAACTCGCCATAGAATTTCCAACCAACAAATGCCCCCCAAAAGCAGCTCAGCGCCCTCCCTTCCAAAATATTGCGTCCAGCGCCCCCCATGGTCCCATTGAGAAACACTAATATAGCATCTATGAGATAGGTAGGACCTGAATCATTTTAGGTAATAATGAACTAATAATTCTATGCAATGAATTTACTAATTACTTAATGCAGGGAATGAAACATGTATTTGTGCTCACAAATGACCAATTAAAAGGAATGATTTATCACACGTCACCCATCTGCCTAGTCTGGGACAACTGACACTACATAAGGAATAATGTGTTAGGTGTCAAATGCATTTCCTACCATTACATGTCCCCTTATGATTCTGCTTTTGGCTGCCCTACGTGAGAGGTTGCTACAGCGGATCATCAGTTTCCATTTTGTTGGAAACCTGGGCGATCTCATGATCCTCATATTTTGCCTAATTTGCACATCCCCCCTCTCTGTCCCCATATTTTTTGTTGGCCTGTACCGTCAATTATTAAATCTGAAAAATATATACTTAAATTTATTTAAAAATATCCCAGATAGATTTGACTTTTAGGACATGGACTGCCAGAACCTTGCATTATCAATTTTTCAGCCTCATTAACTTGATGCATGTAAAATTCAACCTTGAGAGTTTAGTTTCCTCTTTTGACACACATGAACCAGGAGATCCCAGGGGAGTTCAGGATTTAGCGTAAATTTACTGTTAGAATATACACCTCATTTGCATAAACGGGAACTAGAGTCTAATTAAAGGGGGGATAAGAATCCCCTCAATAAATACTTACCAGAAAAGGATGTGGTTATCAGTCAGGGACCTCTGAGGCAAATACAGAAGTAGAGCTCTGCTCGAGTTTAGTTCTTGGTACTCTCCAGTGTCCTCCTTTTCTGTTTTCTGTTCCTGATTCTGGCTGGGTTGAACCCAAACTGTTGTAATTATAGTTAGTCAAAATGTCCATTGTCTGCTTTGTAGTTGCCTAGAACATTGCAGTTTTAGAGTCTTTCATGCGCTAATGCTCCATCCAGACACAACTAAATGTCTAAAATTGTAGCTTTGGCACTTTCTGCATCTGCAAGCAATTCTCTGATTCAGAGTGTATCAGCTTGTAGAGTTGGATACTTACAATACAATACTAAGACCTGTAAAACCCTGTTTAGTCTTATATTAAAATATGAAACCACCTACAGATGCAATGCACCATCTTGTGGTTCCCTTGCATTATATCTGTGTGGTGTTCTTGCCAAACATGGCAGTGATAAGAGGTATTTGGTCTATCTAGCTTCTTTGTTTTCGATAATTTCTGACTTATCAGACTCACCCACAACAACTTAGATGGTTGGTTGATTATGCCGTCAATAATCTAATGTAATATGCCCAGACTGTCTTCACTAGAAAACCGACAGCATTGGTCCTTTGGTCAAACACTACTCAAAAGTGTGTTTATGTTTTCCTGATGTGACTTTGACCCCATCTTCCACAAACAGTCAATGTTGGTTTATTTTAACCCTGACCATGACTTTTCCTCAATACGTTCAACCTTAACCAAAGAGGTGTTTTAGCATTAACACTTAACACTTCTATATTTGTTGGAATACACTGACAAACGTGCCAGATGAGAAGATGTTCACATGGGTTGTTTTGCAAGGCAATGACAAAAAACTTGTTTTGTCATTTACGTTGGAGGACAAGTTGCTTGAATCGACCACATTTATGTCATATAAAAATGAACACTTTTGAATTGTGAATATATTGTTTACATCAACATCCATTTGTAATTTGTAATGGGAATTAAGTTTTATTTATAAGATGATGTGGATTACAATATAGACATATCTGAAAAGGAATTAATATTAGCATAAGTCAATGCAAGACAGTTCACTCAGTGTGTGCAGACAAAGAAATTAATAGATTATCAGAACAGATGTGTAGAAATAGACCCTCAGAGGGGAAGCCAAATTTAGCTCACTCAGCTGAAACCCTCCCAAAAATTAAGATGCTAGAATTTTTACATTTTGATGTGTTAAGACAGGAAAAGTGCAGAGTGCTTCCTACACACACTTCCTTATTTGCCGCTTTATAAACCCAGACTTGACTCCATTCACTTTCAAAGACATCACATCCTCATTGGCGCTGAAAGATCAAAACAACCGCCAACATGACAACTAAACCACTTCTCCTGGCTGCTCTGGCTCTCTGCTGCTGCATCGCCACTCTGCATGGTAAGAGATTTCCGTTACTCCAAAACAGTAAATTACATAAATAGAGTTTTCTTAAAATCAACTTGTATTTTTCTCAACTCAGTAATCCACTCGGTCGTAATTTTTCTTCTCAGTTTAGTACTTTTGTAATTTGTGCAATTAAAGTTAACGAAACAATAAGGTGTCAACTGCATTCAATGGTATTTTAGAAATTTTCAAGCTGTGCAAATATTTTTAGGCACCTTATACTGTAGTTTATATTGTTGTAACAACAGATTTTTTTACATATTAATTTTGATATCTTGGAGCAGGCAGGCAATTTGACAAAAAACCATATTATTTTCATATTCACTGTGTTCACTGACTATTTGTTTAACCTTTAATTATGTTATCTTGTTTTGTTTGACTTGGATTTATACTTTTCCTTATCCTGTCATAAAACACATCAAATTACACTACTTTTACACTACTACGCTGCTACATGTATATTAATATTAAAGTACAAAGCTTTATTAAACTTTGGTTTCATAGTTGAAAGTAAATACTGGTAGTTACATTCTGTTAAGTATTGGAGTTCTTTTTTGAACTTGGAAACCGTCATTTGACAAATATTTTTAAATCGTTTTGTCCACTTTTTTTGGAGCAATCAATCACATTTTATGGTCTTTAACAGCTAGTGAAGTTTGCTGTAAGACCACCCATTATCACATGAGCAAAGTTCCATACCCAGCTTATGCAAGCCATTTCCTTCACAACTAAGCAACGTGGTTGAAAACTCCAGAAAAAGCTACTGACTAGACCTTGAATAAAGTCAGTTGAGCCAAACTTCATTCTAATTTTCAGGGTTTCACAGGTGTAAAATGTCATGTGTTCTGAGGCTTAACAAAGTCAGACTGTTATTAAGCACCACAGACTGAGATCATAATTAAAATTTATATTTAATTTAAAATGTTCTCAGCTTCTCCCAGGCAGTGGTGTCGCTGCATACGGACGTCCTCTTCTCCCATTAACAGGCGTGTCATCCAGAAAATTGAAGTGATTCCTATTTCAGGACAATGTCGCCAGACTGAAATCATGTGAGTAGTCATAAATTATTCAAAGCACTATTTTGCTGTCAGGTTGATGTACAGTAGTTCTGAACTTTCTGCACCTCTGATGTGAGTAGAGGTGAAAGAGGTTTTGGGATCCTGAATTAAATTATACTGAATTAAAAATAGCAATATGTACAAAGTACTCCATTAATAGCAAAAACACAAGTACCATATTAAAAGCCAAATAAACCAGTGGTAGAAGAAGTACTCAGATCCTCTTTTTCAACAAGTAGCACTAACACAATGCAAAAATACTCAACTACAAGTAAAAGTATGCCCTCTGTTGGCATTATGTACTTGATATGGAGTACTTAATAATGCATAGTTTTTATATTTGGTGTGTAGTATCCTAATCTGCAATGTAACTATAACTGTTGCAGTGCAGTAAAAATGGCTATATTTCCCTCTGAATGAAGTGAAGTAGAAGTATAAAGTAGCAGAAAATGGAATAACTCAAGTTATCAACTTCAAAATGCACAGTACCACTTCAGTAAACTTGATTTAAGTTCCATTTCTGTTAAGCTTAAACATATTTTACTATAACTCTTGTTGTCAGTGGCTCTGAATGGGTGTAGCATCTAAATAGTAACTGTGAAAAAGAAAACAACTTTCCTATCACTTACCTGTGACACAAGTTTGCTCAATCATTGAGTCCAGGGTGACAATGTCTCCACTCTTATACATACAAAATGTAATCCCTCTCTTTCTCCACAGAATCACCAGGAGAAACGGCTCTAAAGTTTGTGTCAAACCAAACGAGAAGTGGATTATCGACCTGCTCTGCAATTTGCAAACGTAATTACTTGCTTTTCTTTCTATGAGTGATTGTATTCTTATACTTGATATGAACCTTTTATAGAACCAAAATTATTTCACTTGTAACAATGTCTTGTTTAGATTGGAAAAATAGTGCAGAAATGATCTGCAGAGTTATTGATTAATCAGTTAACTAAAAGGTTGTCATTAAATATCTTTGCATTTTAGACTGTATGTCAGAGAAAACCAATTTAAATAAGTCACGTTTGGCTCTTGAAATGAATTTAAATTTTTTTTCACAAGTTTCTGACATTTTAAAAATTTAGACCAAAAAATCAATGTCAATGATGGCCGGATAGTTTTTTTAGAATTCCCAAGAGCTTCATACCTAAACAATTTTGTTACATCTCTGATGTGTGACGGGATGTCACGACCCTGCGTCAAAATCTTTACTAGAATTGTCTTATATTATATATTTCCCGCTTGGATATTATCATCCCTGATCACCATACTGCACTTATGTACTGTATAATATGTTGCTTTGTGAAATATTGTTATTAATTTCATTCTTTAATGGATTTTTTTGTTTTAATTACAGGAACAATTTCACATCCAACTCAACCACTGTATCACCCACTGCTTCCACAATCAACTGATCACATTTTATAGTAACATTTGACATAGGAATGGCTTAATTTAAGTTTATCAAGCTGTGAATTTAATGTAGGAGGGCTGAGCTGCTGTCCAGCCCTTTTATTTCAAACTTTATACTATTCAACACCTTCAGTTGACAGTTTTTTTCATTACTATTAGCCTTTCTGGTGCCAGCCTTTTGGAAAAATGCTAATAATTACACAACAAGTGTAATCAGTGCTTCATCATATGCCTGAGGTAATGGCATTTAACTTTGCTGTTTTAGATGTATAATGTTTTGTTGGGGAATTCATTAAAAATACATTGTGGTACTGATACACTGATTCTACTTTAAAATAAAACACTTTAAATGTGTTTATCTTGGCATTTTTTGAAAAACCATATATGTAAATGTGATTAAATAATCAAATCAAATCCTGCTGTCCACATTGTGTTTTGATTATATTTTGGATGGTATGGAACCCCTGACGTGCTTGTGTTGTATGCTTGACTTGTATAAGAATAAATTACAAGAAGACTCAAAAATTAAGATGCTTATTTCCTCAGGAGGTGCAGAGAGTCGGCGCTTTGTGTGGAGAGATGATACAAGTGCTGCTGAGCATGTTTGGTTTCAACTAAGGTATTAAATATTAAATACATTTGTAACCTTTGTCCTCCATTCATTCATGTAAATATTATTGCTTCAATATGGCAAGAAATTCTTTTTATACATACAAATGTTGAGCTAAGTTATGGTTGAAGCCTACTTAGGGCCCTCAGGAACCACTGAGGCTGAATAAAAACCTCCTACATTCCAAATGTCAGCTGACAAAAAACCCCATCATGCTTTAAGTTGGTTGAAAATATATTTAATTTAAAAGCTCCAAAACAACGCAAAGAATTAACACGGGAAAAACACAGGAGCGACTATTGTTGAGTGAAGCAGGGTAAGCCTACGTATCGAGGAAGACCTGCGCGTCGTGAAAAGCCCAACAGGACTGTGTCATTCATCCATATTTGTATTCTCCCTATGCATCTAAAAAATATTGTTTCCTGAATATATTGCCTAGAAACTACTGGGTGAAAGCCAAGATTTGTAGTATTGCAACATTCTGTTTAAAATATTCACCATTGGGCATCGCTAAACAAAATTAGAGAGAAGAAATCATTTCCATCAAAAGAAAGTCGTGCTCTGCACAATGAAGGGACTCTGTTAATGTGGCTATGTGTAGTTTTTCAATTAAATAACTCAAATAAATCAATAAATCAAATTTTCACTGCCTTATTGTCAATGTGCTGTGGCCTCACTTAAAAAAGAACCACAAGCCTGTTTTCCTCTGCTGCTGGGAACAGCCACTATTCTCTTAATAATATGAAGGCACTGGGTCTGCATGTATCTGCATCATCATCATGCATCTCCCGAGCCTCTCTTTAAACAACAGCAACAGCACCACAGCTTCTTATCTGGCGTAAGTCTTGAATTTTTTACATGACAGGCTAACGCGGACCAGATGCTAACGTTCAAAACGTGCAAAATACTATAGTTGTAACATCATGACTTCCACATTACTTCACCAGCTGATGTGGTCCATATTACTATCCTGTGTACCACTGGTATAATGTCTCTAAGTGTTGATTTTAGCCTGCAAGAAATATAGTGGTGCAATGCTTGCCTGAAGTGAAGCAAGGCAGGTCAGCCAGCTAGGTTAGCACTGCTTATGGACTTATGGACATTTTACTGATACTCATGTATACAGCTTCTCTACTGTCTCACTCGCTGTAACTTACAGGACCCACGTAACATCCAATATGTCATGATCCTGAGCTCTGTTCTTGTTTTTTTTTGTTATTGAGTGGGGTTTGGTGTGTGCTGAATGTTAGTTCTGATCACTGCCTGTCTTCTTGTTAGTTATTTGATTATGATCGTTCTGTTTTCTGACTGTTTTGTGTTACTTTGCCTTTGTCTGTCTGTCTGTGTTGGTTATGAACCATGGTTGTCATTCTGTGGTGTTTGGTCTGGTCTGTTCTGTCTTCTTTGGAGTGTGTCTGTATCATCAGTTATTTTGTCTGCTTGGTTTGTTCTGTGCTTTGAGTATTGTTTCTGTTGGTTTCCCGTCTTAATTTTGGGTATGTGCTTGTATTAGTTATGCCCTGTTCTGTGTTGTGTTTTTGGGTTTTCACTCTGTATGCCTGTGTTACATGATTCTGACTGTTTGCCCTGTTGGCCCTGTATTTGAGTTTGGCCTGCTTGGTACCTGTCCGTGTTTCTGTCTGTTCACCATTCTGCCTGCCTGACGTAACATAGCCTTAACAATCGGCATACTGGTGTTTCTGCATTTATTGTGGGATTTCTGTATGAAAGCGGTTGTGTTGTGGATTATGCTCGCTCATGAGTTCAAGCGAGCACGCGAACGAGCACATACCTGGTTGCAATCTTAAAACCACACCGCTAGTAGCCGCTGAAAACTACATTTTTCCCCTTTAACAAATAAGATTGACTGAAAATATTCACGATACATCATGCATTTTAAAGGTTTTATCGGATTGTGCAAAATCAAATTTTCACCACACTTATTTGGCGTTTGTGATGTTTCTATAATTCCCTTTCCACATCATTATTTACAGGTTAATACGCTGAAAATATTCATGCAGCATCCTTAAGAGTTAATGTTTCCTGGGTTTGGATGCAGCGACCTGGCCTAGTTAGAAGCCGTCTAATTCAACTTATAAAGGCAGATGCAGATTTAAGTCAACAACCCTTTGTCCAAATGCTAAATGCTTTATCAGATAATCAACTGGGTGTCCTGGCCACCAAAGATTAATACCCTCATATAGCGACCACATAGCTGTAAAAATCACCTTGAATGAAAAAAAACCCCAAATGAAATCAAAACCGGTGTCAGGATGCGTGGTTGGGTGAGCAAGTTGGAGGACCCAAATGCAGAACACAAGGCTGACAGGTTCAGTTCAAGTTTAAAGAGGCAGGCAGAGAGACAGCAGGGAAAACAGAGAGACAGGCAGGCAGAGACAACAGGGGGCAAAATTAATAACCACAAACAAATACTATGACATGAACTAAGGCAAAGGACTAGGAACCAAGACATGGAACAAAAATCCAGACTCCCCAACAAGACACACAGACAGGATCCTGACAACCTGGCCAGATATTGAAAAACAGGATTTTTACATTTAGAAATCCTATGCGATGACAGCTGCACAGCAACCTCTTTGCAGAGACTGCCAAAAACTCACCATGGAAACTACAAACTCAATTTGTGTTTAACAAATAATTGAGTAATCAGTTGGACGTTATTTTTATTATCATTATTATTATTATTATTATTATTTTTGTTCCTTTTTTTTGTCTGGAGGTTGGTTATGAGCTATGCACACAATTCACCTCCTTGAGCTTTTGTTTTCTCTAGTAATCATTATAAATCATTTTATTTTAATAAAGCCAGTATAACCTAAATTTATTGATTTAAGTAACTGTTGTTCCAATCACCATGTAGTTATTACAATCTTTCTCTTTTTTGTGTTATTTCTGCAGAAATTACAATGAATAAAGCTAATCTGAGTTTGTTTCTGTCTCATTTTTTTATTTTGTTGTGATGACATGAACCTCTGTGAAATAGTTAGGACCTAGTTTGTATCCTGTGATTAAAACAAGAAAACACTTTGCTTAAACCTACATAATTTTAAATTATAATTGAGACCTCAGAGTCCAAAGATAACAAATCTGTGCAGCTGGATTTTGGGGAAAATTTGTATGAAATGCATCCCACATTATCAAACATGAGATATTTGTGATTCTCTTCCTCCAGCAGAAGTGGGCGCTCTGCACAACATTATTATATCTGTGCGGAGATGCTCTGTAGATGGCAGCATAGACTTTACAAAGAGCAGATGAAGGCAATGTAGGGATATACATTTTGACCTTTTGTGTCTTGTATCTTAGTGTTAAAATGTGTTTTAAACACATTATTAATATATAATATTTCCCCCAGGCAAAGCTGAATAAGGTATAGGCTTAAAAAAAGCAGTATACACACAGAGGTACAGACAGTGAAGGTAATGTTGGTACAGATGTTTATAGTAATAGTATAGTTTATGATAATAATCATAATAATAATTACAATATGACTAGTAACAATAATTGCAGCAGAGGGTGTCGAGCAGGAAAATGGGGGTATCAGGTGACCTGCAACTACAGGTCCAGACTCCACAGCTCTAGAGCCAGAAACACCTGCAGAAAGTGATAGGAGGAGAGAGGAGAGGGACGAGAAAGCACAAGACTACGGGAAAGGGAAGAAGTCAAGTTAGGAACATGCATTAATGGGATGACGTTGCATACAGAGGGAGAGAAAGAAGAGGAGAGAGGAGCTCAGTGCATCATGGGAAGTCCCCTGGCAGTCTAGGCCTATAGCAGCATAACTAAGGGATGGTTCAGGACTCACCTGAGCCAGCCCTAACTATAAGCTTTATCAAAGAGGAAAGTCTTAAGCCTACTCTTAAATGTGGAGATGGTGTCTGCCTCCTGAACCCAAACTGGAACCTGGTTCCACAGGAGAGGAGCTTGATAGCTGAACGCTCTGGCTCCTTCTACTTTTGGAGACTCTAGGAACCACAAGTAACCCTGCATTCTGGGAGCGCAGTGCTCTGGTGGGGTAGTAAGGTACTATGAGCTCTTTAAGATAAGATGGTGCCTGACCATTAAGAGCTTTGTAGGTAAGAAGAATGATTTTAAATTCTGTTCTGGATTTTACTGGAAGCCAATGCAGAGAAGCTAAAACAGGAGAAATGTGATCTCTTTTCCTGGTTCCTGTCAGAACACGTGCTGCAGCATTCTGGATCAGCTAAAGAGTCTTAATGGACTTTTTCGAGCAGCCTGATAATAAGGAATTGCAGTAATCCAGCCTAGAAGTAACATATATATGGACTAGTTTTTCTGCATCATTTTTAGACAGGATGTTCCTAATTTTTGCAATATTATGAAGGTGAAAAAAGGAGGTCCTTGAAATTTGAAAGTCAAGGACCTTGCCATTTTGGTGATATAGGGGTGCCCAACATCTGATTTTACATAGAACTACCAGTTTTCTCCAAATAAGTTAATATACTGCCTATTACAATATACATTTCAACATATAAGGCTGCAAATAAACATGTAAAAAGAAAAAAGCTTTTAATAAATATGTGTGAATAAATCCAAAATCGTAACCCTAACCTTTGAGGAAATGGGGTCAGGGGGTGCGCATGTGTAGGCGCAGCGTATATGTGTAGGCTATGTTTGTGTGTAGTGGCTGGAACACTTGCTGAAGAGATGGAGTCCCAGCTGCTCTGTTTGTGCCGAGTTGTCAATATCAATGTCAATAACG